CTCCCTGGCAGCAGCCCTGGCTCTTTGCCCACAGGGCCACATGGGAGAATGTGGGGGACTTATTGAGGAGCATGGGTAGGGTAATGCTAGTTCCACCACAGTAGAGAGACTCCAAAGACCCCCAGTCATGCGCCCAGGACTAGGTTTTACCTAGTGTTATTGTCTCAAACAGTGAGTGCAAGCTTCATGGAGAAGATGGAAAGCTCCAGGGGTCATTAGGAGACTGGCCCTCTGACCAGCAGAAAACAGCAGTTCTTGCCTTCCTTCACTTAAGGCCCAGTTTAGCTACTGTGCCTTCCCTAGCACTCTCCTCTCCCCTCTGAAGTAGGAACTAAACCACCCTGCACAGCCAGGGAGGCTCTGGCCATTCCACCCTGCTCCTTTCCAGGGACAGCCAGCCACCCATGGTCACCTGCAGCTGCATAGTCACCAGCCCAAGACATAGACAACAAGAGTCCAGTTCTTGGGACCTCTGGGACAAGCAGGCAGCAGGCACTTGAGAACAGTAGGTCTCTATTCCCTTTTTCCTGCACTTCCTTTATGCAGCTGGGTCTCTAAATGATCCTGAGGGCAGTTAGGATGGAGGTCTGGAGCTGAGGTTAGAACCAGTCCATGCTGTCAAAAAAAAGTGCATAGAGCCGGCCTCTAGTGGTTCATGCTCGTAATCCTAGCTACTCAGGAGGCTGAGATCTGAGGATCATGGTTCCAAGCCAGCCCAGGCAGGAAAGTCTGTGAGACTCTTATCTCCACTTAACCCCAGGAAACTCAAAGTGGTGCTGTGGCTCAAAGTGGTAGAGCACTGGCCTTGAATGAAAAAAGCTCAAGGACAGTGCCCAAGCCAAGTTCAAGCCCCATGATAGAAAAAAAATGCATAATCCCTGGTCACCTGCTGCTCTGAGCCAAAAGTGCCCAGGAACCCAAGGGACTGGGTAGTCACATCCACAGGAGATCAATCTAGCAAAGCCATCCCCTTGATGGTTCATATAGAAAATGAGTCCTGGCTCAGGAATTCTATGCTCAACTGTCACCATTCAGCTAAATAGCTTCCTCAGAAAGCTGGAGCTGTACACTTCAGAAGGCAACTGAGGGTCACTTTTCTCTGGTAAGCATGGACCAAACTTCAGAACTTACCCTGCTGGCCAGGGAAGTGAGGGAGGAGTGTAACGCCCTTCCTGGTAGAGGACAGCTCTGCAACTTGTGCTGCAGCTTCTGGGGTATGGTGGGAAGGTGCTTGGGGCTTCTTCCAGTCCCCCACAGTGGCACAGCAGGACTGTCATCTGTCCTCACCTTTCTGCTTCTACCTCCTTTCCCCAAAGCAATGAGTACAGAGTTTCTATCTGCAGGCATGTTTTACTATCTATCAGGGTCATGGTTCAATCACAGTGAAGGCTCTGGCCATGCATGTGGGAGTTGGTACTTCTGGGTGGGATGGGAGGTAAAGGGAGGAGGCTGGCGTCTCCCCATCCAGCCTGCATTCCCAAATCCAGACTCATACTGCACCTCCAATCATGTCCTCCAGCCATGGCCATGGCTCTGCTTCAAAAATGCATCTCAGCTGCCTGCCCCTCTCTGATCCTTCTACTGTGCCTTCTTTTAGCCAAAAGAGCAGGTTGCATTCTACATTTTCAACAGGGTCTGGAGGGACAGGGGATAGAAGCACACTACCCATGGAAAAGGCAACCTGCATCCTGGAAATGTAATTTTCTTAGCCTGAAGCTATCATCCAGGCTTCTACAGTGTGGAAGAACTGTGACTAAATTGCTAATGAGAGAAGCCAGTCTGAATGCAGCTAGGATGCAACTTCTAGGAGTCCCCAGAGACACCAAAATCTCAGAGACAGAAGGTAGAAGGGCAGCCAGGGGCTGGGGTGGGGGAAGGAGGAGCTGTTTTCTAGTGGGGACAGAGCTTCACTGGCCATGTGAATGCAGAATTCCATAGGTGAGTGGTGGTGGCATATCATTTGCAAAGGAAATGTGCCTAGCATAAGCAAACTAGGTACTAAAGAATAGTGAAGTCATATCTATTTCAGCACACCTAAAAACAATCGTGAAAATGGTTAAGATGATTTAATCAAAAAGTTATAATTGCTTTGATTTGCATTTCTTTTATGGCTAGAGATGTTGAGGATTTTTTCACGTATCTATTGGCCATTTTTACTTCTGAGAAGATTCTCTTTAGCTCATTAGCTTATTTACTAATTGGGTTATTGGATTTTTTGAGAATTTTATGTTTCAACTTCTCTGTACATTCTAGATATTCAGCCATTATCTATTGTGTAGCTGGAAAAAGTCTTCTCCCATTCTGTAGGTTGTGTTTTTCTTTTTTTTTTTTTTAACTGGTCCAAGACCGGGACTCAAACTGTATTTACAGCCACTTTTGCTTATTGGCTAGCACTCTACTAAGTAGGCCATACTTCCAACCCCTGTAGGCTGTCTTTTTAGCTTGTTGGCTATGTCCTTTGCCCTGAAAAAAACTTCTAAATATGATGCAGTCCATCAGGTGCCGGTGGCTCACACCTGTAATCCTAGCTACTCAGGAGGCTGAGTTCCGAGGATCCTGGTTCAAAGCCAGCCTGGGCAGGAAAGTCCGTGAGACTCCTATCTCCAAGAAACCAGAAGTGGTGCTGTGGCTCAAGTGATAGGGTGGTAGTCTTGAGCTGAAAACCACAGGGACAACACTCAAGCCCAGAGTTCAAGCCCCACAACTGACAAAAAAAAATTGATGTAGTTGCATTTTTCCAGTCTTTCTTTGATTTGCTGTACATCTGGGTCTACTCAGAAAGTTTCTACCTGTGCCCAGGAACCCTGTTTCCCCGACTCCTACCTGTAATAGTTTCATGGTTTCAGGTTTTACATTGAGGTCTTTAATCCATTTTGAATTGATGCTGGTGCAAGACGATCTATAAGGATTGAGATTCCACCTTACTCTAGTTAGAATAGCCATTATCAAGAAAACAAACAATAACAGATACTGGAGAGAATGTGGCCAAAAGGGAACCCTACTCCTACTGTTGGTGGGAATGTAAACTTGTTTAACTGCCCTGGAAAGCAATATGAAGGTTCCTCAAAAACTTAAACACAGAACTACCCTATGATCCAGCAATTCTACTCCTGGTATTTACCCAAAAGATTACAAACTAGGATACAGTAAAGCCACAAGCATCATGTTTACTGTAGCACACCTCACCATAGCCAAGGTATAGAATCAGCTCAGATGTTCCTCTATGGACAAATGAATCAGGAAAATATCACATACACACATGCATAATGGAATTTTACTCATCCATTAGAATGATAGTATACCGTTCGTAAAGAAATTGGAAGAACATGGGGAAAATTATGTAAATGAAGTAAGTCAGGCCCAGAGAGGGACAAAGGATCCATATTTCCTCTTATATGTGGAAGCCAGATTTGGCTTATAAACTCATAACTAAATATGTTGGGTGGTATGCAAGTATATACAAACATATTAACTGGAATATGGTAGATTGAGATCTCAAATAGTGTAATTCCTTAGAAAGCCAAAAATCAAAAGCCAGGCTCAGGTAGCTCACGCCTGTAATACTAACTACTCAAGAGGCTGAGATCTTAGGATAGTGGTTCAAAGCCAGTCCTGGCAAGAAACTCCATGAAACTCTTATTTCCAATAAAGTACTTGGAAAACCGGAAGTGGCGCTGTGGCTCAAGTGGTAGAGTGCTAGCCTTGAGTTGAAGAGCTGAGGGACAGTGCCCAGGCCCAGAGTTCAGGCCCGATGACCACCAACAACAAAAAAAGAAAGCCAAAATCAAAGTTCAGCAAAATAAAACACCAGCAAGTGAGTACTCGAAAGGCGGGTGGGATAGGGTCAAGGGAAAAGGAGTAGATGAATGAAGTAGGGAAGCGGGGGGAGATACAGACAAGAATTCAGTGTAAAAAAAGAATCCAGTGTATATTCTACAAAATTCATAAAAGTGAGGAAAGCGTGGGTAGGGGAAGAATGGATGAGAAAATTGAAATGAGTGACATTGATCAAGATATATTGTATTCATAAACTTCTTTGTTAAATGGCAACTTCTTCATGCAACTACTTAAAGATAATAAGCTTTAAAAAGTTACAATTGAGGGATACAGGTGGACCCATTGCAATAATGAGATGTACAAGTCATTATATCGAAAAACGAACTTTACAACTTTGGTGGTGGGGGGGGAGTATTGGGTTGGGAAGGGGAAACAAAGAGGAGGCAACAATGCTTGATAAAAAATGTACTCGTTATCTTGCCCATGTAATTGTAACTCCTTTGTACTGTATTCTCACAATAAAAAAATAAATAAAGTTACAATTGGTCCAGTTATTCTAAATTAGACACTGAGTTAACATGTGTACCTAACTCAATTAGTTATTAAATAGCAACAATAAAACCCAAACAAGTCAGCAATCCACTGGCTAAGCCCTACACTGCTCCCTCTCCTGAGGCCTGGTTCTTCTCTGTTAAGATAATGCACAGATCACCCCAAACACATTCGGTTTCCTTCCAGCCCTGTTTAAGATCAGGCCCCTGGCTCATGGGTCATGAGCCAGCCAAGCAAGCCACTATATCCCGAGTCAGGCTTCATCTTCCATCCTCTACACTGAGCACAGCCCCAATTGCCTTTTCCCAGCTCACTGCCAGGACTTGTAAGGTTGCTGGTGGACAAAGGAGGCATGATGTCCACACAAATACAGACTTCTTCAAAGGCTCTTCCTCCCATCTACTTTCAAAGGCCACATCTGCTAGAGTGAGGTCAGGGACCCACACAATTTCTAAGGGAAGGGGCAAAAGAGGATTGGATTATGGGCCTCAGTAGTGTGTACCCAAAGGGGGAAGCATCCCTCTGAGTAGGTATGGATTTGGCCTCAGATGGCAAAAATCCCTGGGGTGTAAGATTCTGGGAAAAGGTGAGAAACAGTTTCAGAGCTCTCAGGAAATGACACCAAACAGGAGCTGCTTTTTAAAAAGAACATGTCTGTCTCCGTTACTTACCTGGTTGCAAGTGTTAATGTCCACCCCATTCCGCAAGTGGTCCAGAGCCTTGTCCAAGTTGCCAGATCGAGCTGCCCTCAGAAAGCTGGTGGCCGCATCGGCCTATGGGAAAACAATAGGCTATGAGTGTCTTCATTGTTAACAATCTTAAGGTTCTTTGTGCCCCAGGCCATGGCAGCAGTTATTCTACTCTCTGGTTAGAACACCTTGTTCACAATATCCTCATGTATATGAATTCCCTTGGGCCCTCAGCTGGACTGTTATGGGGCCCAGAATGGGAGGTGTGCTCCCATTCTTTGAGGATTTTATAATCAAACATTCTTGACCAGGACCTGAGGGGGGGGGCGGCGGCGGCGGGGGAACCAGCCTTTGAGAGAATCCTGCTCCTGTTCATACAGAAAATGCTCAGCAGGGTCAGAACTCACTGCTTCTAGATTTCAAGGCTCATATCTTGCTGTAGATTCTGCAAGGGCTCACCTAGGCCCAGGCTTCAGTGAAGGAGGCCAGAGAAGGAAGTAAGCTCAGCTCTTCATAGAAGGCTAATGCTTTGCCATCAGCCCAACCTTGTTGCATTTCACAGGTAATATACAGCCACAGGTGCATGTTGTGCGGGCTCACACACAGAGATGTAGACTGTAGGCTTCCCCAGAGATAAGAGGCACAGCAGGACACACAGGCTAGTACAGCTCTGAAATTCTGAAACTTAACCTCCCAGGTCTGGCTCTTAACAATCAGATACTCTGTCAGATGTCTGGGATGAGAGTGAAGATCTTGCCTTGGGAGCTCTGGATTGCATTAAACGTATGACAACTAGAGAAGGACAATGGAAAGTTTGCTGCTGAAGATGAACACAGGAGGAGTAAAGGGGTCAAGGCCACAGCAGCTGCCCTAAGTGTAGCAAGCACTTTAAAGTGCGTGGCTGCTCTCAAATCCATCTTCTCATCTGTAAACTGGGGACAGGAAGGCCTTTCTCATATCCTATGATGCTTCAATAGCTTACTTCATAAAGTGTGAGCACAATACTTGATGTGCAAAGCTGAGTTTATCAGGTCAGCATGGCTAAGTGTCCTGGGTGCAGTGGCTCAGGCTTGTAGTCCTACCTATTTTGGAGGAAGAGCCCTAGAGGAGGAGGTTTGATGCCAGCCTGGGAAAAAGAAAGCTCACAAGACTCCATCTCAACCAATGGCTGGACAAAGTGGTTTACATGTATTTGTCATCCCAGTGATGCAAGGAAGCATAACAGCTGGGTGCAGTGTGAAGACCCTGTCACAGCATCATAGCTGGGTATAGTGCTGAATGCCTATCATCTCTCCCCCCACCCCCACCCCTTTGGCAATGGGAAGAACAAGTAGGAGGATCACAGCACCAGGCATAAAGTGAGATCCTACCTCAAAAATAACCAAAGCAGGACTGGGAAGGTGGCTCAGTGGTAGAGCGCATGCCTTGCATACATGAGGCCCTGGGTTCAATTCCTCAGCACCACATAAGCAAAAAAGAAAAAAGCCGGAAGTGGAGCCGTGGCTCAAGTGATAGAGCACTAGCCTTGAGCTGAAGAGCTGAGGGACAGTGCCCAGGCCCAGAGTTGAGGCCCCACAACCGGACCCCCCAAAAAAAATAATAACCAAAGCAAAAAGGGGCTAGAGGTACAAGTCAAGTGGCTAAGTGCTTACCTTGCAAACACGAGGCCCTGAGTTGAAGCCCTAATATCACACACACACAAAAGGTTGAATGACTTGTGAATGTGTGTGTTGCCCTTCCTGCAGATGACCTCACCTGGTGGCTTCCTCTGCGTTGCCACTCTCTCTCATCTGTCACATTTTCAGAGCTTGGGTGATATGCTAAATGATGTGCTCCCAAAAAGCAAGGCACATTGTAAGCCCTGTAGCCTGTGCCTGTCCTTGTTTGAAAGAGATCTTACAGTTGTAATTAAGTTGTGGCTCCTAAGATGAGATCATCTAGATTCCCTAGGTTGACCCTACAGACATGGATAAGTGTCCTTCAAGAAAGAAAAGGAGAGAGTTGGAGGCAGAAAGTAGAGGGCTTAGAGCCTTAACCATGGAAACAGATGTCTCCTGAGAGCCCAAGATCCTCAGCCTGAATCCTGAGGAGGAAGCATGGCTCTGCACAGCACACAGTCAGTCACTCGCACTTCTAGCCTCTAGAATGGGAGAGAAGAAATTTTGTTCTTTGAAGCTACCAGTTTGTATTAACACTTGTCATGGCAGGTGCAGGAAACTAATATATAGATGACTCGAAACCCTAAGCATAAAAGACTCAAAATCCACAGCCATACTTTCCAACAATGCTATACAATGAAATTCTGTGCTATGCACCTTTGCATTTAACAGTGAACCACGGTAGAAAAGAGCCATCAATATTAGATCTTCCTTCCTTGCTGCCACCCTTCCCTCCTCTATCATGTAAGCTCAGATACAAGTTATGACACATGTTCATACTTTACTGTCACCAATGTGGCAGGATATCCCCTTCTTGTCCTCTTTCTTGTCCCATTTGGTCTGGCCCTGGTTACTTCCTGGACACTTGGCTCCTTTTTTCTTCCTTCTAGGTCCTATTGGAACCCTGCAGGATGTTACTTACCCTTAGGCACAGTTTCTAAACCTAGGATCCATAAGACAAAAGTTTTGTTTCAAAATCATTTTAAACATGTCTCTCTCTAGCTATTGAATTTATGCAAGTTGTGTCTTCCCAGTCTGATTGTTTATTTCTCAGGCCTGGGACCAAATCTTCTGTTGGTTTCGACAAAGCTATGCATGTCTATAAGGCCAAGGCTGCCACTGCCCAATGGCCTTAGCTCTCAACAGCTGGCTGGGCCAACCTGTCCATTGGTCCCCACGTATGACCTGTATCCAGAGAAATCAGACTCAAGGTCTCTCTCTCAGATAAATACCTATGGCTGCTGATTCACAGAGGATGTCTGCCTGCAACTAGCTAGAAGGAAAACACATTATTCCCCAAGACTAAGAGTGTTAAAGAGACAAGTCCCAACCAATGAAATGTCTTTTGCAGCACAATAACAGGTTTGGGATAAAAACCTGAGAATGGATGGATAAAAATAGATGTGATATCAACGAATGACACTGTAGCTTTGGAAGCAAAGCAGCCAATCATGTCAGACAAGCAGATAAATCAAGGATAACAGAAGCCAATTTGGATTTCACTGAGGACAGCTAAACAGTTTTTTTTTGGTTTCTATATTATAATGGTAAAATTATGATAGTAGTCATATTACTGATATCTTTTATTGTTGTTTGCCTTTGTGCTAGGGATGAGCCCAGAGTTTCAGGAATGCTAGATGAGCCCTCTTCCATTGCTCCATCCCCTCCCCTCAGCTCCCACCAGTACATATTTTAATCCTCATGGCAATTTGTGAGGTACGTATAATTGTATCCCATTTTAAAGGTGTAACACTGAGGTGGAGACATTAATGACTGGCCCAAATTCTGCAACTGGTTAACACATAAGGCAGGTGTGCCTGACTAGGTACAGTGTCAGCCAACTTAACACTAAGAATATCCATTCAGACCATGCTGATAGTGTGGCACTGTGCAATATCACAACTAACCCTCTGCAAAGCTTCTTGTGGGAATGTTTAGCAGATCCTGCTCTGTCCCTAAGGCCAACTGGACTCTAGAAAGGAATCATCTAGTTTTCAACCTTCCTTTCACTAATGATGAATTTGAGGCCCAGGAAGTAAAGTGAATGGCTGGGGTAACCTAAACCATTCAAGGTGAAGTAACTTGTTACTGTCATTTTTCCCTTTGCTCTTCTGTGGGCACAGAGTAGACAGGACAAGAGCAAGATCCTTGGGTTTAACTGTAGGCAGTGACATTACTCACCCACCCACCCCTGGCTACTGTGCCCTGCTCACTTTAATTCCACAGTGCATTTACTGAGGGCCCAGTTCAAGTCCAGTATCTCTCTGGCAGATAATTAGGGTGAGGGGGAGTAGAACAGAGACCTTTTCTCCTGATTAAAAAAAACACAGCTGAGTTAGAGAGATCATTCATGTAGGAAGATACCCACAGACGCATTCTACAATATTCACTAGGAAATAATTTTCAAGCTGCAGAACCAATGGCCCTGGGATTTATATGAGATTCATCTTTATTGTCTTGTTCTTCTGTAGCTCCACTGCCCATCCATCTAATCCAGTGACTCCAATTCATCTATATGCCTGGCACACCTAGGAACAGTACAGCCTGATTAATCCAACAGGGTAGAAAGACAGCAAAAGAATCCAACATTTAAAATGTTTGTCTGAGTAGGCCAGGCATGGTAGCTCATACTTGTAATCCTTACTACTAATGAGGCAGAGCAAGACCCATGCAAAAATGTAGGAGACCCCATCTCAGCTAACAAGCTAGGTATAATAATGTGTACCTATGTTCCCAGCTCTATGGGAGGTACAGGTAGAAGAATAATATTCTAAGGCTGGCCCTGGGCAAAAAACCCTCAGAGACCCTGTCTGAAAAGCAAGCAAAAAGGGTTATATTTGTCTGAGTGAATACTACCCAGAAAAGCAACAACAAATTCTGAGTTATGATAAATTAAAGCAGAGTGGCTGGACCTCTCCAAGTCTACTCATCCTACTTGGAAGTCTCCAAATTTTGTTGTGTGTGAGGAGAGCGGGGGACCTACAACAGGCTTGTACACTGTGCCAGTCGGAGCACTACGGTGCACATGCATCCTGAACCAGCACCATCAAGGTAATCATATACCCCTGTGTGCCTACCCAACATGGCCCTCGGGGCCTTTCCTTCTTCATCTTCAGTTTCATTTTCATCAGTGTGCATGTGTACATATGTGCACATCTTGTACATTGCAGGGACAGAGTACACTCAACACCAAACGTACTTTGGTCCTTAGCCCACATTAATGTGGGTTAATCCTTGAACTTCCTCTCAACGCAAAGTACATTTGCTTTACAGATCTCTCACTGTATTTGCCACACTCAAATCTCAATTAGTGCTTTTGCTCCTCCTAAGAATCCCATGCAAAATAAGAACCTCTCTCTCTCTCACTCTCTCTCTCTCTCAGATGAGGTGACTGACTCACCCAGAAGTAACTTGTCCAAAGTCATA